ATGTATGTCTGTCTGTCTGTCTGTCTGTCTGTCTGTATGTATGTGTATGTGTATGTATGTATGTATGTATGTATGTATGTATGTATGTATGTATACATGTATGTGTGTATGAGTGTATGTGCATATGTATGTATGTATATATATATATACATACATACATATATATACATATATTGCCCGCCTAGCTCCCCATTCTAACAACGGTTCTGGGATCCCCGGGTCCCTCGTTCTGTGTTACATAGAAGTACGACTGTAAACAAAGCGGTGCAACGAAATAGCAATGGACCAGTATCGGATATACTATGTGTATACGCGCTTATCGAAGTGTACAAGGCGGCCCACACGCGCGCGCATGCCAAAAGCATGAGAAAGGCAATTACAAGCACAGTTGCACACTAGCGATGTCAAGCCATTGCTGACTCAGTTTTCATCAAAATCTGGTTTGCCCACTTTCAATGTATGAGATTCCTGTGCGCGCACTCGCTGAAATCAGAAACCGTGTTCTTTTGGCCATTCTGGCCAATGGGGCCCTGCAGTCCCCAAGAGGGCGCGCATGTCGAACACGTCTAAGCATCATCGCGCACCCGCCAGCTCTGTCAAATAATCCAGTGCGGGCTACCTGCGCTCTTCGCCGCGCGCGTCGAAATCTTTTAACCAACATACGCGTCGAAGCATTTGAGCACGGAAATGCCTACACACATACACGAACCTATGCACAACTACGTTCTGCTCAACAAAGCGCCTGTCAGAAGTTCTGAATTGCCGCGCGCACACTTCCTCATAATCCTCACAAGCATCATGGCCCATCACATCATCATCGTCAGCGTCATCATTGCCGCCGTCATCATCACCAGCGGCTTCCATCGAATTATCCAATGTCCCCACCGTCGTCATTAACACCAGCTCGTCATCGTCGTTGCCGCCGCCCTCGTAACAATTGCCACCATATTCATTCTCTTCATCAGAGGGGTCCTCGCGTCACTGCGTAAGCTGAGTTTTGCCAACGTGTTCTGGGTAGCATAATGGGACGTCTGCTGGAGCATCGGAGTTGACGATTGTAATTTTCAACGCGCAATTTGCAGGCTTGCACCGCTGCGCACATAGATGGCAGCAAATTCATAGCGCACCGCGCACCTCTCTAGCCGATAGGCAACTCCACCTATGTTGCACCACATGCATGACGCTGCGCCACCAGAAGAGAACGCAGGGCAGATGCGCGCGTCGCCACGCGTGCCGCGCGGCAGCATCACTCAGACCTTCGGCTTCTGTCAATTACAGTAGGTACTCCATACTTCTGTTCAGCCACACCTTCTGTATTATGTCTGTGCGTGCGCCCATATCCTAGGAACAACACGTGTGTCTGAACATCCTGTCAGCTGACAGCGTGCGACCCGCACGCGCGGGCGCATGCCAAAAACATACAATCATCACCGCGCACCATCCACAACTTCGAAATAATACCATGCTGGCCTTGCGCGCGTCACCCCGCGCGCATGTCCAAATTCTTCTAATCCGATGTGTGCCCAAGGCTTTTCAAAACTGGGATACCCCTAAACTTACGAACGCCCACGTTTTTGTTGCAAGAACAGCTATGTCAGCAGTTCGGGATGTATGCGCGCGCACGTCACAATTGCTCTTCCCCTGGCAATTACAATCATACTCGTGAGAGTAATCGATGACAACAGCATCTTCATACGATCGTCGCCGTCAGAATCACTGGCGCCGTCGTCATGACCATCGCCACCGCCATCATCATAACCGCCGTCGTCGCCGATGTCTCCGTCATCGGCATCATCATCACTCGACCGCCCGAGCCATGGAGCAGCATTAGCAGGGCCCGCGCGTCACTGCGCCTGTCAAGACTCGCGAGCCAGTTCAGATGCGTATGTCCCATTCACGGTCTTCATGGGTTGTTCCGACAGGTTGCGGATGGGTGGGTGGGTGGGATGGTTGTTCGAGCATGGGGCATGGTCGTGTGCAGATGCCTCTTTTCTTCAACTCTACCGCATATACTGCACCTCCTAGAACCATCGAACGTCCATCGATTTCAAGAGCCCATTGTTTGTGCTCCACTTGGGCAAAGTTTGTATGCTCTCTCCCATCAGGTGGGTTCTGCAGGGTTCCGCGCAGACGTCTCAGGGGCCCGCCGGTGCTCATTGGTACTCGGGCAGGGCCTCCCAGGCGGGGGTGAACAGTCTGTGCTGCCGGCACGGCGGGGCAGCGCGCACGTCCAGCTGCGTGTGCGCAGCTTCTCGGGCGACTGCAGAGCTGCTGCAGCCGCTGGAGGGGGAGAAGGAGGGAGAGGGCGAGGGAGAAAGGAGAGGGGGAGGGCGAGGGAGCGAGGGAGGTTTTGGGCAGGGAAGAGAAGGGGAAGCAGGGAGAGGGAAGGCGGCTCTCATAAGCCATCTGCTTGTAGCAACGGCCGCTGTTGTGGTACACCTTCTGGAGGCGCGGGGTAGTGATGGACGTCCTTTCTCAGGGAGGTGAGGTCCAATCGGGATCCCCCAGGGGTTCCGAAGGTGTCCATATTACCATGATGTGTTGGACCAAACGAAGCGCACGCAGCGCGGAAGGCAATAAAGGCCAGGAGTGCAAGAAGGAGAAGGAAGGCAATGATGATGATGATGATGATGATGATGATGATGATGATGATGATGATGATGATGAGGTGGAGGAGGAGATGCGCAGACCCTTGCCCCTGATCTTGGGAAGTATCGCAGCACACGTGCCGTGTGTGGTAGCCTCCGCAGCTCATGTTGTGCAAGCACTGGGCGTGGCGTGTGTGTGTGTGTGCACGACTGCCGATGACGGACATCTACTCGCCCGTGCGTGCACATGCGCGTTTGATCGTGTGCATGCGCAGTCTTGTGAATTTGTACGTGCATATTTCCCAAGCTGTCCTTGCCTCAGGGGTTCTCGCTTGTTCTCGGATAGCTGGTGGGTGCGCGGCCTGCGCCAGCCAGCCCTGCCCTGGTTCTTCGGGTTCCCTGGTCGCGTCTGCTTGCTTTTTGCAGCGTCTGGCCTTGCCCGGGTTCCTCGGGTTCTGCAGGTTCTTTGGTCTTGTTTCGTTTCTGCTCCCCCAAATCTGCTTTGCTTACGGGCTTCTTATTTGTTCCACACACCCAAGATGTGGTTCTTGTTTCCTCTGAACACGCCCCGCGCAGGAACCTCACCCATCGCCCCTCTTCTCCTCTCCTCACCATCCCACTACCATCATCATCACCATCAGCATCACCATCATCATCATCGGCATCACTCACCCACACACTCACTCACCCACTCACTCACTCACCTACTCGCTCGCCACCACACCATGGTTATCACCATCACCACCATCATCATCATCATCATCATCACCACCACCATCATCATCTCACACGCACTCACGCGCTCACTCACACTCCCACGCACTCACACACTTATCCGTCATCATCACTCAACATCACTATCATCACTTATCAGCGCCATCACACCATTATCATCGCAATCCTCATCCCATTGTGGCCATCGGTCACACTCACGCTCACTCACTCATACACTCACGCACTAACGCAGTCATCTTGGGGACCTCTCGATCGGGAGTCTCGTCTGTGAGTGAGTCGCGAGGACGTCTCGAGCGGGAGCCTCCTCCGTTTGGGTCCCACTCTTCATGTTTTTGAATCCCAGCGGGTCATCCTCACAAGTGCAATTGTCGTTACTTCGGGGTTCCGCAGGCCAGGGTATGAAGGACGTCTCAAGCGGGAGTTTCGTCTGTGAGTGAATTGCGAGGTGACTTAGGCGGGACCCCCCTGTTTTATGGGGCTCACACGTCATGTTTTCAATCCCAGGGGGTTAGCCTCAAACATGTAACTCTCATCACTCTTGGGCTCCTCAGGCCTGAAGATGGGGGAAGTCTCAAACGGAAGCCTTGTTTGTTAGTGAATTTCGGGGAAGTCTTAGGCGGGAGCCCCCCTGTTATGAGGCCGTTCGTCATGTTACTAATCCGAGGCGGCCATCCTCAAACACGTAACCGTCGTAACTTTTCAGTTCCTCAGGTCCACAGGCGGTTGTCCCAACGGCCTAGCCCGCGGGGTTGTCCCAACGGCTTGGCGGTCTAGCCTGCGGCGAGCGCGCCGCTGCCGGCCGTGGCGGCGAGGGCGCCGAAGAATCGACATGCGTGCCCCGGCCAGAAGGGAGGAGAGGTGCATGAGGAGAACAGGCGGGATGGAGGTGAGGAGAGGGAGAAGGGGGAGGGAGGACGTGTGGGAGTAGGAGGAAAGGGACGAGGAGGAGGAGCAGGAGGAGAAGACGTGTGGCGAGGAGGACGAGGAGGAGGAGGAGGAGGCGACGGAGGGCGAGGCCGAGGAGGAGGAGGCGCAAAAGAGGGCGGGAGGAGGGCCTCCGGCAGGGCGAAGAGGAAAGAGCGAGGGGCATGACGAATAGATTCTCATGTGGGTTCCCGCCGTCGGGGTAATGCTTGAAGCATTTAGTGGGTGGGTGCGGGGCCTGCACCGGCTGGCCTTGCCCCGGATTCCTCTGTCTTGGTTCCTTGGTTCTTGGGTATTGGTTCTCTGTTGCCTTCCTCGGTGCCTTTGTCTTGGTTTATTGGTTCTTGGGTATTGGTTCATTGGTTCTTGGGTATTGGTTCATTGGTCTTGGTGCCTCGGTTCCTTGGTCTTGGCTTCCTGGTTTTTAGTGGTTTTGGTTCACTGGTTCCTTGGTCTTGATTCCTGGGTTCCCTGGCGTTGGCTCCTGTTCCTTGGTCTTGGTCCCCTGCTGCCTCGCCACGCAGTGCCGAGCAAGGCCAAGCAATGCAGCGCAATGCGAATCACCACCAAGCAATGCCACGCAACGCGCCCATGCAATAGGAAGGTTTCCCCGTATTGGGGGTCGCGCCGGTCTCATGTGTCATCTTGGCATTCCAACACCTACCAATTTGGTTCAAGGACACGGGGCACCGCGGCGCGACGCGGGGAGCACCACATGTGCACGTCATTCAACCCCTCGAGTAACCACTAACCATGGGCAAGTTCATCAAGGCCGGCCGCGTTGTTGTACTCCTCCAGGGCCGTTACACAGGTAAAAAGGCTATTGTCGTGAAGCCCTTTGACGACGGGTCCAAGACGCGTCCATTCGGGCATTGTCTCGTCGCAGGCGTTGACAAGGCACCCCTGAAGGTGACAAAGACTATGGGCAAGAGGAAGATTGCCAAGCGGACTCGGGTCAAGCCTTTTGTCAAGTATGTCAACTACAACCACATGATGCCCACTCGTTACCAGGTTCCCGCGGAAGTCGGCGTGCAGTCGTGGGTCACTGATCAGCAGATGGACAACAGCGATGGCCGAGTGGAGGCCAAGAAGTTGATCAAGAATGCGTTCCAAGAGAAATTCGCGAGCCCTCCAGCAGACAAAGCGGGTAAGCCTTCCAAGGACGTCCTCTACCTCCGGAAGAAGCTCCGTTTCTGAGGGAAGTGTGGTGAGTTTCGTGCGCGAGGTGTTTGTTCGGCAAAATAGCATGACACGAACAAGAGCCGCTCAGATGCAAGACGTCCTAAACCACCATCGTTTGATGTTACATCTAAACGCTTCGCGTATCCCCACCGGCCCGTTCATAAATGAGCCCCAGGGGAGTGGAGGTGATGAGGGAAGCGGGGGAGCATGCAGCATGCAGAAGAACAAAGGTCGGGGTAAGCCGCCATATACCCCAAGAGGGGGAGGATGCAGTAGGCGTCGTCGTCGTCGGAGTAGGAGAAGGAAGAGGAGGAGCAGGAGGAGAAACAGGAGGAGGAGGGGGCGGAGGAGGAGGAAGATGAGGAGGAGGAGATGGGGGAGGGCGAGGACGTGGAGAACGAGAAGGAGGAGAAGGAGAAGGAGAAGGAGGAGGAGGAGGAGGATGAGGAGGAGGAGGAGGAGGAGGAGGAGGAGGAGAGGGAGGGGGAGGAGGGAGGAGGAAGAAAAAGAGGAGGAGGAGGAGGAGGAGGAGGAGGAGGAGGAGGCGGACAATGGCGAGCTTGGGGGCCTCTTGGGCCGTCTTTGGGGCCTCTTGGCGCCTCTTGCGTATCTCGGGGAGCCTCTTGGGGCCTCTTGGGGGTCTCTTGGGGCCTCTTGGGGGTCTCTTGGGGGCCTCCTGGGGGCCTCTTGGGGCCATCTTGGGGCCATCTTGGGACCTCTTGGGGCCTCCTGGGCGCTTCTCGGGGCCAAGTTGGAGGAGATCTATCAAAGAAGGGGGGGGGTCCTCAATTAGCACCCCCCCCCCAAGAGGCCAAACTGTGGCCAAAACCTTAGTAAACTCAGTGATTTGGGCTTCCTCGCCGAGGCCATCTTGGACGCTCCAACGCGTCGCCGCGCCCCCCGTCCAGGTCCAGGGGAGGGGGTAGAGGGAGGGGTAAACCCTTCCTCGAAGGAGAAGAAGGAGGGGTGGAAGAGGGAACTCTCTAAACCACCTACGCCCAGAGGGCGGGTGGGATTCGCCTGGAACCGTTGCCAGACTGATTCGCCTCATGCGCTGGAGCCGCACGTTTCACGGCATTCCTCACATCAGTAGATTTGAAACCCGATGTTCGGATTACCCTTAGGGCCCCAATCCGGGGTCGAAGCGTAGGGTGATGACACATCGAAGACGCCTACGGCGAATCACCAACGCCCCGTGCCTTTTAGGATACGCCTATGTGGCAGAAACGTCTGGGCAAGTTTTGGCCACGCTATTAGACCATGCGTTTCACAGCCGTTGTGGAAGCACTTCGGGTGAAAACGTGGGGGAGGAAGAGAAGGATGAGAAGAGGGAGGCTACAGGAGGGTGAGAAAAAGGATGAGGAGACCTCTTGGGAGCTTCTTGGGTCATTCTTGGGGCCTCCTGGGAGCTTCCTGGGAGTCTCTTGGAGGCCTCCCTAGGCCTCTTGAAGGCCTTTGGGGTCTTCTTGGTGGCCTCTTGGGCCGTCTTGCGGCGTTCCTGGCCCGTCTGACGCCGTCGGAAGTCGTCGTGGGAGCCTCTTTTGGCGTCTTGGGGCCCTCTTGGGGCGTTTCAGGGTCGCGTCTAGGAGGCCTTTTGGGCTGTCTTGGGGCTCTGTGGGGAGCCTCTTGGGAGACTCTTGGGCCATCCTGGGGCCATCTTCGAGGCTCCTTGGGCAGTCTCGAGGCAAGCCGTCTTGGGCCTTCGCAAGGTCGCGTTGAAGCAAGATCCCAAATCCTTTGAAGCATACGGGAACTCGTGACTTGGCCTTTTCGGGCTTTCCTGGAGGTCCTCTTGGACATTTCTGGGCCGCCTTAGGGGCCTCTTTTGCGCTTCTTGGGTCGTCTTGGGCTCTCTTGGACCATCTTGGCGGTCGTGGAGGCATCTCGGGACCTTCTTGGAGGCCATTTTGTGGCTACCTTGGGCTCTATGGAGGCTTTCTTGCCCGCCGGGGAGGCATCTTGGAGGCCACCGTGGCCGCCTTGGAGGCGATCGGGCCCGTGGAGACCGAGTGTTCCCGGGCTTTCCAGGTGGCGGGCGGGATCGGTCCAGACCACACAGGGGGCTCTTTTCGGGGGCGGAAAAGAGGGGGGTGATGACTAGGGGGGGGGGGGATATCATGGCGGGAGCCATGATATTTCCTCAGATTTCATGGCGCCTCTTCTTATTGCATTACGTCCCGGGCCCCCCCGCTGGGCCGCGCACATGCCGCCGGTCATGATTTGCACCCCCCCTCTTGGACACCCCCCTCTTGGCCGCTCCCGATCTTTAGAAACGAGCCAGAAGCTTGCCAGACCTTCGGCACGCCAGGCACCCGCGTGATAGAAGTCAACAGGGGGCGCTCGGATCGAAGGTGCCCACGGCGAAGCACCGCCGCCCCCTGCCGTTGGAAGCGCCCATGTGGCCGAGCGTTACAGCCAGCGCTCGGCCAGGCTAGCGGACGACGTCTTCTCCCAGCCGTTGCGGAAGCCCTTGGTGGAACACGTGGGGGAGAACAAATGCGAGGAGGAGAGGGGAGAAAAAGAAGGAAGAGGCCTCATGGGATCCTCTGAGTCACTCTTGGGGCCTCCTGGGAGCTTCCTGGATGCCTCCTGGAGGCCATTCGGGGGCCTCCCAAGGCCTCTTGAGGGCCTTTGGACGCTCCCTGGGAGGTTCTTTGGTAGTCTGAGGGCGTTCCTGGCCCTCCTGATTCCGTCGGAAGCCGTCTTGGGGGCCTGTCTTGGGCCGGCTAAGGGGCCTCCTTGCTGCGCTTCAGGGCAGTCTTGGAGAAGCTCTTCGGCGTCTTGGCGGCCTCCCGGGCCCCCTTAGGGCCCTCTTGGGGCCGCCTTGGGAGCTTGGGCCGTCAGGGTGCCTTCTCGGAGGCTTCTTGGGCGCGCGTGGTGCGCCATCTTGGTTGCCTCTCCGGCCGTTGTGGGTCGTCGGAAACCGCAACAGGAGCAAAACACCAAAATGCCTCAAAAGCCTGCTGGAAAATCAAGGACTTTGGCATCTTCGGGCCTTCCTGGAGCTCCTCTCGGAGGCCTCGTGGGCCGTCTAGGAGGCCTCTTGGGCCGTCTTGGGCGAACTTGATGCAATTTTCGGCCATCTTGGGGACATTTAGGCCTGTCTCGGATATGTCTTTGGGCCATCTTGGGCCTTCTTTGGGTCATCGTAGCTGTCTTGTAGATCACCCTGGCCGGCTTGGAGGTCATCTTGGGGCCGTCTGGGGAGTCTAGGGGAGATCCGTTGTGGTTTTGGAGGATCGTTCCAGCTGGCCGGCGGGGCGGGCTAGGCCGAAGCCCCAAGGGGAGTTCTTCAGAAAAGAGCCAACAGACACCAGACGTCTTCCATGCCGTGCACCCTTGTGGCAATCCATCTTGGAGGCCATTTTCGAAGCGATTTGATCAACGAGAAACGAGTTGCATGAGCTTTCTGGGTTGCTGGCGGGCTGGGCCGACGTCGACGTCCCGGGGGGAGCTTGCAGAGAGAACCAAACACAAACAACAATTCGGCACGCCAGGCACCCACGTGATTCGGGACGGGCGAAAGGGGGGGATTGGGAAAGGGGGGGGTACGAAATTTGCTGCGTGCAGCTGATTTCGGCCTCACCGAGGGGCCCATTCCTCGATACATAGCCGCCTCTGGCGCCGGGAGGCGCCGGGAAAATCAGCTACGTGAGCTGATTCTCAACCCCCCCCTTTGCTATCCCCCCCTTCGCCCGCCCCGAGTGATATGAGTCAACAGGGGGCGCTCGGATCGAAGGTGCCCACGGCGAAGCACCGCCGCCCCCTGCCCTTTGGAGTCGCTCATGTGGCCGATCGCTGCGGCTGGCGCTCGGCCAGGCTATCGGACGACGTCTTCTCCCAGCCGCTGTGGAAGCCCTTGGTGGAACACGTGGGGGAGAGCAAATGCGAGGAGGAGAGGGGAGACAAGATGGAAGGGGCCTCATGGGAACCTCTGAGTCACTCTTGGGGCCTCCTGGGAGCTTCCTGGATGCCTCTTGGAGGCCACTCGGGGGCCTCCCGAAGCCTGTGGGCACTCTTGCTGCCTCCCGGGGGGCCTCTCCTGGAGGCTTCTGCGGGGCCTCCTTGGGCCTCCTGGGGGCCTTCGGGTGCTTCCTGGGGGCCTCTTCGGCCCGACTTAGGGCGTTCCTGACCCGCCTGACCCCGTGGGAGGTCTCCTTGGGGGCCTCTCTGAACCGACGTGGGGCCCTCTAGGAGCCATCCAGGGCCGTCTTGGGGCCCGTTTCCTTTTGATGGAGGGAAACGATTAAAAGAATCGCCCACCCCCCCACCCCCCCGGACCCCCCAAAATGATTGAGTGGGGCGGACTAATCGAATTCAGCCGCCGGAAACTGTTTTTTTAATCGTCCGCCCCCCAGCGTTTGCTTTTGCCCCTTTGGGGGAACTGATTTTCTATTCGTCCTCCTTCGCTCGCTTGATCACCCGCGGCCGCGGCGCGGCGACGAGGAGGACAGGGAGGCGAGACAGCGAGAGGGCCGCCCTCGTCCTAGCGGACGGGGGGGGGGAGAGGAGGACGAACAGGAGGAGAAAGAGGAGGAGGAAGCGGAGAAAAAGGAGGAGGAGGAGGACGAGGAGGAGAAGGACGAGGAGGAGGGGGAGGAGAAGGAGGAAAAGGAAGAGTAGGACGAGGAGGAGGAGGACGAGGAGAAGGAGGAGGAGGAGGACGAGGAGGAGGCGGAGGAGGAGGAGGAGGAGGACGAGCTCGCCCTGAAAAATCACTCCGTCCACCCCCCTGGCCCCCGCGCCCTGGATCGCCACCCCGTGCCCCCCCCCCTGGCCTTCCAGGCAACCCGGAATTGTCAGCCCCCCGTCTGCCTGCCCTGCCCCCCCGCTATTGCGGGGGCGAGGAGGCCCGCGAAACATATTTTAATCGTCCGCCCCATAAAGTTTTTTGTTGTTGTTATAAAAAAGATTATCCCGGCAAAGCAACCGAACAGCGATGTGTAGAAGCATAGCTGGAAACATTGCCTGTGGTATTCATGTAAGAGCGCTGTTGTAGAATTCTGGTGTTCTCG